AATTTCATCGTGTCCTCTCAGGACCTTTCCATTTTATGCTGATTACAGGAGACAGGGAAGTACATCTAATTATACAGCCAGGTCATCCAGTGCCCCTTCCTGGGAAAACAACATAATTCCAGGTGAAATGAAGCAAAAAGAGAATCAAATGATTGCGAAAGGAGAGCCAAGTTTTGCAAAGGAGCTATAGATGATCTATTAATTGGTGCAGACAGATGGGTGCTGTAATAAGCAATCCTGAGTGTCAGGAGAGCTTCTTACCACAGATCCAGTTTGTACACTCTTTGTTAAGCCTCTGCATATGAGATTTTGTGGTTATTTTTATATGTATATAAAAACAAAACACTTTTGATGACACCGGGGATAAAAAAAAGGAGGGGATGTCTCCTCATCCACCCCAAGGCACTGCAAATAAAATGCAGGGAAAAGGGGTAGGAAACAGTAGTTTGTTGGTGTGGTTGTGGATTTATACATTATTTATCATCAGAAGAAGCTCATCCAACTCCTGGCGTAAAGGAGAAATTAAGGCATGTAAAGACAACTGTGAAAAAGAGTGAAAATAATGAAAAGAAAGGGTTGACTCCCACAAGCAAATTTTAAAATAAATTTGGAAGTTCCTAACGGGGAGGAACAATGAGTAAAAAAACTCGTGAGACTTTACAAAGAAAGGATGAAGGAGGATTAATTCACAGTTATCTGTCCCAGGGAAACGGGAAGATAAAACCACAACCCAGACTCCTCCTGTACAAGTGAGAGGACAAGAGGAAAATGTCACCCTGGTCACTCCCCACCCAGTCCTGGCCACGGAGAAAGGGAAGGAAAGGAGCTCATTCATTGCACACAAGCACTGCCAGCGCTTCCCCAGCCCATTCCCACCCACATGAAGGCACAAAAGCAGAATACATTATTCTCCCAACTCCATTTTAATTAGTCGGTAGGAAAGAAACTCCAGTGCTCCAGTGCTCCCCTGTTCCACTTGTGTTGCATCTTAAGGGAGAACCACACCATAACCCCCCCCCACTATTTCAGTTTAGGAGACCGTGGAGGAAAGAGGGAGCGTGGAAAGGCACAAACCCTCTTGGGTGAGATTTCATGAAATCATGGAATTGTTTGGGTTGGAAGAGACCTTAAAGCTCATCTAGTTCCAGCTCCAGGGATGCCGCTCACCAGATCCAGAGGGATGGGTCTGGCAGCTCGCTCCTTGAGTTCATATTCCTTGGGAAGGAACTGGAGAGGGAGCTGGCCATCCTCCCCGAGGTGGGAAGCAGGACGCTGAGCGAGCATCTCCTTTTCCCCTTGGATCCTCGCCGCGTTTTAAAGGCGACGGGAACAAGTGCACACGCGGGACCAGCATCCTCTCGGATTCCCGCTGCACGGCGAAGGAGAAGGAAGGAGATGCTCGCACAGAACACCTGGGTGGAAAAGGAAAGAGGAGAGGAGCGCGTGGACAGAGCTGCGAAGGGAGAAGGATGAGGGACGAGCATCCCTTCCCCGGGATCCCGCACTACGGCGCGGGGGGAGCCCGGGACGAGCACCCCCGGCCCCGCAGGGAGGGACGGGCGGTGAACCCATCCCCTCCGCGGCGCTCAGCACCGGCATCCCCCCGTCCTTCTCCCCGGGACGAGCATCCCCCGGTCCTTCTCCCGGGACGAGCATCCCCCGTCCCTGCGCTCCGCTCCGCCGCTCCCCCGCCCGCCCAGCGCTGCATGGCCGCCCCGCCAGCGCCCCGGCGGGCGGCTGCCCGTCCCCGCGGCCCGGAGGGCGGCACCCCCGCCCGGGGATACCCCGTGTGCCATCGCCCCGTGCCCGGTACCTGCCCGCGGGGGTCCCGCAGCCCCCGCGCTCCCGCCTTGTCCCCTCGGGTGGCGGCGGCGGCAGCGCGCGCCTCCCCGCCCGCCCTGCCCGCCGCCAGGCCACGCCCCCTCCGCGCGCACCGAGCCCCGCCCCCTTCCCCGCCGCGCGGCCAATCGGAGAGCGCCCGGCAGGTTGCTAGGTAGATCGGAACCCCCGGCCGGGCTAACCCCGCCGGGGGGGGGAGCTGATTGGCTGGCGACCACCCCGGGGTTGTCATGGCGACGGGATGCGGAGGGGAGGGGGGAGGAGGAGGAGGAGGAGGAGGCGGCGACGTCCGAGGGAGGAAGGAGGAAGGTGAGGGGACACCGTGGGACACGGAGGGACGCGGGAGCCTTGGGAGAGTGTGGGGAGCGAGTGTCACTGCAGTGGGGCACGGCCGAGCCCTGAGGGGACACGGGGGGACAGGGAGGACACGGGAGCCCCGGGAGAGCGCGAGGAGGGGCGTCATGTCAGTGGGACACGGGAGGACTTGAGGGGACATGGGAGCCCTAGGAGAGCGTGGGGAAGGGGTGTCACTGCAGTGGGACACGGCCGAGCCCTGAGGGGACACGGTGGGGACAGTGGCACCAGCCTTGGAGCAGCCCTGGTGTGGCAGCAGGAGCAGGGAAGGGATTGTCCCCCTGTGCTGGCACTGCTGGGGCACCTCCAGGGCTGGGGGCAGCTCTGGGTCCCTTAGACAAGAGACATATGGAGGGGCTGGAGCGTGTCCAGGGAAGGGAACGGAGCTGGGGAAGGGGCTGGAGCAGCAGGAGCGGCTGAGGGAGCTGGGGAGGCTCATCCCGGAGAAAAGAGGGATCAGGAGGGACTTTTTCCCTCTCCACAACTCCCTGACAGGAGGTGGGAGCTGGGGGCAGTCAGGCTCTGCTCCCAGGGAACAAGGGACAGGAGGAGAGGGAACGGCCTCCAGCTGTGCCAGGGGAGGGCCAGGTTGGATATTGGGGTGTTTGGGCACTGGCACAGCTGCCCAGGGCAGTGCTGGAATCCCCATCCCTGGAAGTGTTCAAAAACCACGTGGATGTGGCCCTCGGGGACCCGGGTTAGTGGTGGGTAAATGTTGGACTGGATGATCTCAGAGGTCTTTTACCAACCTGGATGATTCTGGGATGCTGTGAGGGGGATCTCCCACAGCGCAGGGAGGACAGGGAATAAAGGCATCATGCAAAGAGTATAAGCTCAGTAAATGAGTGGGAAAAGCACTTTGTATCCATGGACAAGTCTCAGCCTTGCTGGACTATTGATTTCACCCCCAGGTCCTCCTCCTCAGCTCTCCATCCATTCTCTGCCCTCTGTTCCTGTGCTTGTTGCTGCTGCTCACAGCATTTCTCCCATCATCCCACTGCTTATTTTTGAAATAATTGCCATCAAAACTGCTTTCCTGTCTTAGCTTGAGGTTGATTCCGTTAAGCTCTGTTTATTCCCAGCTGAACTCCTCGGATTTTCCCGTGGATTGATGTGACTGGGGAAAACCCATCCTTAAAATTCTGAGTGCGCCGGGCTCTGTGCACCACAAAGGCTCTTTGCTGTAGGGATGTGGTCAAAAAACATTAATAAAAGTGGGTCTGCTCCTGCAGGAGTTGTTTTGAATATGGTTTGCCCAAACCATAAGCAGAGATTAGCCCAGGTAAAGGAAATTATTCCCATGCCCTTAGTTAGTAGGATATGATCATTATGGGTTGTTAAGCTTTCTTCAGTGCAATCACTTGGGTTTTTAAACCAAAAACTTGACCCAGCTTGTGCTGAAATCAGTGAAAGTATTTCCAGTGGTTTCCAATTTAAATTGTCTCGCTGTTAGAACCCACCATTCATGTTTCCTGCCCTGTGGAATTATTCGTCTTCTTCAAACATCACCAAAATCTCTTGGATCCCCACTCAGTGCATCCCTCCATCCAAACTGGGAACCATTCCCAGGGACTCTGGCTGCAGTAACCGAGGCAGTTTTCCTCTTTTAAACCCCGTATAAACTCCTAAAAGTTGGACTTTCCTCAGTCTTCCCCCCAAATCTCTTCTGCACTGGTATTTACTATTCCTGCCACCTGCTCCCACATTCCCTTTTTATTTTTTCTGGAAGGATAAGAGGTGATTATTTTTTGGGGGTATTGTGTGCCAATAGTTTTTCCTCCCTGGGTAGTGAACCAACACATTCCTTACATGTATTTAAAGCTTGATTCCCTGTTAACCTCATCCCATCTCTCTTGCTGGTGGAATGTTTTCGGATCAGCTGAGCTGGATGAATTTCATCCCAGGGTATGTGAAGAACAAGCTGGAGCAACCTCTGGAATGTTGTTTTGGGCAACCAGTCCAAAGATAAAGACTGTTGCAGAAGAGAAGTGGGGCCCTGGCTGAAGTGATAGGACGAAGGGGAATGGCTTTAAAGCAAAAGAAAGGAGATTTAGGTGGGATATTGGGAAGGAGTTCTTGGCTGTGAGGGTGCTGAGGGGCTGGGATGGAATTCCCAGAGAAGCTGTGGCTGCCTCTGGATCCCTGGAAGTGTCCAAGGCTTTGTTGGATGGGTCTTGGAGCAACCTGGGATCGTGGAAGGGCACAAAGGTAAAATCACAGGATCATGGAATCATGGAATCTCCTGAGCTGAAAGGGGCTCACAAGGATCATCCAGTCCAAATCCTGGCCCTGTATAGGATACCCAAAAATCCCACTGTGTCCCTTAGAGCCTTGTCCAAACGCTCCTTGAGCTCTGGCAGGTTTTGGAAGTGACCATTCCCTGGGGAGCCTGTTCAGTGCCCGACCACCCTCCGGGGGAAGAACCTTTTCCTGAGATCCAACCTAAACCTCCCCTAGAACAACTCCCTCAATGTCCTGTAGCTGGAAACAGAAGAGATCAGTGCCTGCCCCTCACAGGGAAGTCGTAGCCAGGCTTTTTCCACACCCTTAGCCACATTTTTGGCACAGCAGGGGCACGAGAGGGTCCCGAGGCCCCGGGAGCTGCTCCCGTGCCAGCCCTCAGCGGTGCCCCGGGAATGTGGCCGCTCCAGCCCCGAGAAACCACATCTGTGAGGGAAAACTGGGACGTGAACCCGGGGCTGGGAGTGTTCTGCAGTGCCAGCTGGTGGGGTTGTGACTAATGGAGAGAGCTGTCCCTGAAAAACAGGACACGGTTGCCCGAACCTGTTTTTTTGGCAGAGGAGCTGTTTCTCTGCTCCGGCGTTTCTGTGCGTTGGAATGGGCAGGGGCCTTGCAGGAAAACAAAACAAAAACAGCCCAGTGAGTGATGCCATCCCAAAGTGTAGCCCAAAAACACCTACTCAGTTGCACAAGAAGCCTCTAGCGTTGTCCAAGTGCAGAATTTGGGGCTGTGAAACCTCGGTGAGTCCTTTAGGTTTCGGCGTCTTTTCATGGGAAGCTAAAACTTCCATGCACAGATAATACGTTCTTTGAGGACCTTTAGCCTCCAAAAAAAAAACAAACTGAAAAAAAAAGCAGGAAGAACTCCTTATTTCCAAGGACCTTGTTACATCCCCAGGTGCAGAGAGGAAAATGTAACAGGTTCTTCATTGGTTTTCCTTTATGTTTCTTTGATTCCATAAGAAAAATTAACCATAAAAGTGATGTGCCCGGGCAGATCCTGCAGTGGGTTTTGAAGGTTATTAATCCATTTATATATTGAGGAATTTTGTCTGGGTAAGGAATGGGGCCCTGAGCTTCCATGGTGTGTCTCCTGAGCCTCAGAGCTGTATTAGCAAGAAATGTCCTTTTTCTGGGTGAGTTTTGAGGAGTTTGGGTTCGGGGCAGGTTGGAAAGACAATATGGGAGTTACTTCATCGATTTGCCTTTTCTCGTGTTCCAAAATTCCTGTTATCCATCTTTATTATCACGAAGCTTTAAAGCAATCTGAGGTATTTACAAGAAAACTGCCTAATCACTGTGTGCAGGAAACAGAGATATTTTTAGTGTGGTAAAGGAATTATCTGGTTTTCAGGCTGCTGCAGTTTCAGTCTCCAGTCTGGGAATTGGATACTGGAGGTGAGGAATGGCATTATCCTGCTGAATCCAGCTGAAGGATAGAAGATAAAGAAAAAAAAAAAACCAACAACTTTTCCTACATTTGGGCAAGAAATAAAGAAGAAATTACTTTGGAGACAGTTGGACTCGGTGATCTTAAGGGTCTTTTCCAACCTTAGCAATTTTATGAAGTTCAGTTCATTGGGAAGGGAACGTTTTGTTAAATGCCTGATTTGCTTCACGTAGAAATTTCAGTTTAAAAGAGCAGCACAGTCCCAACCATCAAAACCTGCTGTGCCTGAACACAGGACCCTGCAAGATTTCGGTCAGTTCTGAACCATTTGGGGTTTCATTTTTTTTTTTTCATTTAAGGGTTCCAGAAACAAATTGCCCCTTTGAGACTTGGCACGACATGCCCATCAAAACCAGCAGACACACCAGTTACCTCCAGTTTTCAGTCCCAATAACTGGAAAAGGGAATTTCCTGTACTTGCCAGCTTGCTGCAAGGACCCTGTTGTGATCACTCACACAGGAAAAATCACTGAATTTTAGGATTGTTAAGGTTGGAAGAGACCTCTGAGATCATCAAGCCCGACCATCAGCCAGCACCACCGTGTTCACCTCGAACCCACGTCCTCAAGTGCCACATCCACGTGGTTTTTGAACAGTTCCAGGGATGGGGACTCCACCACTGCCCTGGGAAGCCTGTTCAAAGACATATTCAACAACATTTGTGACGGGGAAAACCTGCTTAATTATAAAGTATTTATTAGTGCCCATGGGGAAATCCCAGGATCTCAGAATGCTTTGGGTTGGGAAGGGACCTTAAAGATCATCCAGTTCCACCCCCAACCATGGGCAGGGACACCTTCCACTATCCCAGATTGCTCCAAGCCCCATCCAACCCGGCCTTGGACACTTCCAGGGGTTTTACTTCCTTCTGATGGTTACTGTGGCTACATAAAATAAAAGGCTTTACCCGATTTTCCAGTAATTTTCCTCGTGCCGTTGCTGTGCTGTGAAACCACCAGATTCCTTCTTAAAATTATTTGCTTTCCGTGTAAAGGAACAGCACAGGGATAATGCTGGCCTTTGTTTTGTGTAAATGTTGTAGCCACTGGTGCTGACAAGAAGCTCCCCCCCCCCTCCTGCATCCATGGCATTTGCTCCTCCCAGGAACACGGATGGCTCCAAGCTGCAGATCAAGATGAGCTCGTGGACCCCTCTGAACCATCAGCTCATGAACGACAAGGCAAGTTTTGTGCCTGAAATTCGGAGAGTCACGGGATTTTTGGGGCTGGAAAGGGCTCCTGGAGATCATCCAGTCCAACCCCTCAGGGCAGAGTCAGATTTACCAGTTATTTGCTCAGGATCATGTCCTGGGTATTGGAATATTCTCATGTCCTGGGTGTTTGAATATCCTCATGTCCTGGGTATTGGAATATTCTCATGTCCTGGGTGTTGGAATATTCTCATGTCCTGGGTGTTTGAATATTCTCATGTCCTGAGGTTTTGAATATTCTCATGTCCTG